GGTGCCTCATTCTCTCTGTCTTCCAGGTCCTTCACTCTCTGTCCCCCAGGTCATTAACTGTCTCTCACGTCCTTATCTCTTTCCACCTCCCAGGTCTATCCCTATCACTACCAACAAGGTCTGTCTCACACACAGATCCTTCTCTTTCTGTCTCTTAGGTCCTTAGGTGTAATGGCAGCGAGAAAGTTGAATGAACTTGATGGGGTAATACTATTGATTATATCCCTCTATAGTTTTCAAAGCAGATATGCCCATTGCATTATACGGCTGACAGTTAGAAGGGTGAGGCCCAATAACTGACGCTCGATTCTGCAGACTATTAGGTAAGAACTGTGTACGCCGGTGCTCTTAACAGCGTATACGGTATACTTATGTGTGTGTGGTATCCCTTAACCGGGGAAAGTGGAGAGGCTTCACCCGTGGTCAAGTGTGTGTTTACTCTGGGCCGGAGGAACTCAACGGAGTGGATCCGCCACTTCCCGAATTACTGAAGTCTTCTACACTAAACTACTTTTTTCGGAAAATTATTCTAACGTTAAATCGGGGCAAAATATTTGTACTTTGCTAACTTTCCGTCACAGTTGTTAAAATACTGTATGTTTGTAACAATTTGTGCAAGAAACTCATGCATTCGTCTTTGTGCTCGTTCCTAATTGTGTGTTCTATCATTCATGACTTTATAATTGACGGTCATAAAGAAGAGCAGTGTGAGTGTGTCGGAGGGTTGGAGTCTAGTTCTTGGCCCATGATGGCAGAAGAGAATACGTTGTAAAGGGTATATTTCAAGGTGGGCGAAATCCTCAAATTCAGGGAGTTACCGCTCACTTGTGGACTTCTCTACGTAAGGTTGGTGATGGAAATATTGAGTTAAGGGAGTGAAGACTGTGCCCGAGGTTGTCAACGTGTTAGAAAGCTTCTCTAGCCTAGCTCGAAGTATCGGCCGACTCTATAATTAACACAAGAATTCTTGCAATAAAATCCTACAAACTCTGAAGAAAAATATGCCAGTAATGCAAGTGAGTATAAACAGTGAAGAGTTTGTGATGAGGGGAACTGGAAACTAGCGCGGTTGTTATCTGCAGATGGTAAGTAGTAATTACGGGATCTGCAAGTCACGCCTAGTGGAAACGCAATATGCAGATACTTGAGGCTTTTTCAGAGGAGTGTTGATAACGTTGAAAGTGGAAAGAAAATGAAATGCGAAAAGGGAGAAGGATAATGACCTGGGAGAAGGACCTGGATGATAGAAGAAGAAGGACCTGGGAGATAGGAAAGGGAACCTGGTAGAGAGAATGGGAACTGTGAAGCAAAGAGGGACCTGGGAGACAAAGGAAGAGAGAGACCCGGGAAACGGGGGGAGATATGGTCCTGAGAGACAGGGAGATTTATCGAAAAGAGTAGTCCCCATGGCGCAGTAGTAAAACATTCGCCCCGCGCTTTCGCAAGCCATTTGGCCTGAGTTCGTATCCTGGCCGGTGAGGATTGGCTGGGCGTCAATCCTTAACTGTAGTCCCTGTTCACCCAGCAGTGAATGGTACCTGGTTGTTAAATGATTTGGCGGGTCGTATTATAGGGAAAATTAATACTAAGGACCTGCCCGAAACGCTATGCGTACTAGTGGCTTTACAAGAATGTAAGAACTCTCGAATATATAAAACAAATTAACCTGGGAGACAAATGGAGGGGTAACTGAGAAACGGACGATGATTCCCCAGACGGACCTTGATGTCAGAGGCCTGGTAGGTGACCCTGGGAAGCACAGGGAATGTGAAAGCACCTATGGAGTGTGGCTTTGGGGACGACGGAGGGGCGTGCATTTTGGGTGGTGACGATTTGTGATGAAGTGTGGCGTAAGGGTGTCAATGTAGTGTATTTTTGGGGGCTAGCAGAGTGTGACTTACCTTGGGGCGGTGGGGAGGCTGGGGCTGACGACGGTGTGTTCGTGGTGGTGAACAGTGGTAAAATTGACCTTGGAAGCTTGGTGCAACTTGGAGGTAAGGATGGTTGCGAGTGGTCGTGTCTTATTGCTTGTGACGACAATAGTGTGACAGTAGGGACTGTCTTCAGCATGACAGTAGTGAGTGGCTTCTGGGTCGGCGGTGAGGTGCCTGACTTACGCAACAAAAGTTGTAAAATTTTCTAGGAAGTAGAATGAGAATAGGCAGAGATATAAATATAATCCTATTAATTACATGTCGTGGCTTAATCGGCTAGAGCGTGTGTCTAGGTATACCCACCTCATAGGTTCGAATCCTCATCACGGACCCTGTGGATTTTCTTTTAAGCATATTATTGTGAGCGACAGATGCCCTTACAACAGGCAATTACACCCCCCCAACAACTTTGGTGCGTCTTGTACACTACGCACATAAGTACTTTTACATGTAATAATACAAGCTGTTTTTCTGTCTTGAAACAGACTTTTAATTGTTATCATTAATTTTATTATTAGTTGTTATTATTATTGTTATTGTTATTATTATTATTGTTATTATTATTATTATTATTATTATTATTATTATTATTATTATTATTTAAGAATTCTGAGGAATATGCTATTCGTACATAGGAAGAGAACGAGGAAAGTTCGAACGTCATCATTAGTGAAATGTGACAGCCTGTATTCATCACTAGTGAGATGTGACAGCCTGTACTCATCACTAGTGAGACGTGTGACAGTCTGTACTCATCACTAGTGAGATGTGTGACAGTGTACTCATCACTAGTGAGATGTGTGACAGTGTACTCATCACTAGTGAGACGTGACAGCCTGTACTCATCACTAGTGAGATGTGTGACAGCCTGTACTCATCAATAGTGAGATGTGTGACAGCCTGTACTCATCAATAGTGAGATGTGTGACAGCCTGTACTCATCACTGGTGAGACGTGACAGCCTATACTCGTCACAGCCCGTTTTCATGAAGGCCAAATGCTCGTTAATCCAGCCGCCAAATCCCGTTTTCATGAGTGAAAAACGGTTTACACACAAACCAAACTGACGACATTCACACATTTCTCTAACAGTGCCTCGCTGACGGCCTCTGGATGAACCAAAACTGTAAATACTTCACCTATGAACTTCACATATAAATAATCACCAACAGAATCTATCCACCTAACTTACGCCTAATTGTACATTGAACTTTAATTTACAATAATATAAATGTATATATGATAACAAACTTGTTTTTGATACACAATGTTAAAATTGATGAATGCGTCTTGGGTGTCTGCCTCCGCTTTAAAAGCCTAGCCTATGGACATGCTACTGTATGGTAAATACACCTTAAATCCAATAAATCTAACTGCGCATACACCTACAATCTATAAAACATTAATATGTATTTGAGAAAAAATGTTTGTTATTATAAGGTATGAAAGACTGTTCTTACTAGTCACTTGCTTAGCTAAATGAACTATGGGGTTCAGTTCCTGAACCAATTATGTTTTGTAACCCTTTCCACAACCGCCCACGGGATGGGTATAATAGAGAAAGATTTAATATTACTAGTTTGCTGTTCGATGCGTAAGTCAAATACTTACATATTCAAATCTACGTATTTTGGTATTTAGCTTTTAGCTGGAACTGGATGAGGAGTTGAATTATATACGTTGTAATATCAAAGGGGGGGGGTAGTAGTAGCCTAAGCTACGCTATCCCTTTAAAATGTATTTTCTTGTCTCAATAAACATACTTGAATTTGAAGAGGTATCAGCCCTGCGACACATGATAATTATAATCTGGTACAGTATATAGTGTTCCCTCAATACCTTGTGTCTCTATCCGCCTTTACTTATCATGTGGAATATTATCAAAAGCCTCATTAAAGCCAAAGTGTACATAACCTACTGAATTAAATGCGGTTTAGAACGAGAATACGAGGTTTTCTTTTTTGTCAAACGGTGAATCTTTTATTAATGCGTTTTTCAAGTGTTTGAATTGCATTTCCATTTGCTGTTAAAATTAATTTAACCACATTTGACATTGAATTAAGTGGGCGACATTTTGAGGTTAATGGTATCTTATTGCCACTTCATCTTTAGATCTTTAATAGACAAATTTATACCCGAATTTCTTTACAGAAACTGCTGCACGCTATATTTTTAAACTCAAATGAGAGCCGTGTTCAGTATTTCACTCTTAACATTATCGGTGCATAAATTGTGCTCTGCATTACGTTGGGACCTCCTGATTTTCAATTTAAAAAATAAGGATGACATGAATCTAAATAAAATATAAATGCCCACCAGGTGGTATCACCAAATTAGATTCTGAGTAGTTTCGTAAGGATCAGTCAGTTGGAGATTTAAGTGTGTTGGGGCCGTGCTGGAGTGTAGGAGCCCATCTAACGCGCGCCAGTGTGTTTGTGAGTGAGGTAGTGTTACCCTCGCCTCCCGCCAGAAATCAAAACTTAACTCCTTTGATAAGAAATACATGAATTAGAGTCGCCCAGTGATACAATCAGCACTCGAGGTCTTCAGCCAAGGACGCGTCACAGCGGTCATAACAATACGCCTATCCAGCCAACAGCAACAGCCTTCTTAGTTTTCTGGTGCGTCATTTGATATAAGACACGTGTGTGTGTGTGTATAATATTTGGATGAAAGCGTTCAGTATTCATATGGGAATTTATGTTCGCAGACTGAATATCTCCAGGCTTCGAAGTCTGTTCGAGCGCTTAGGTGAGATACGACGGTCTCCAGAGCTGTAACCTAATTGGCTGTAGCGGCGTGGGTGTCCCACCCCCCTCCATTGACGACGCAGCCAATCAGGGAGGCGAATCTCCATGACTGAGTAGGGTCATGAGAAAAAATAGGGCTTCTGATTGGTTGTTGAGGGGGGCGTTGCCTTTCCCGCCTCTATTTCTAGTTCATTTATCGTTCACGAATTACATCCTTCGTGGACTTTGGGCGTAGTTCAGAAAAACGCACGAAATATTTTGGTAATAGCCACCTTTTCCGTTCAGAAGATTAGGCTGCAGAAGTGGGCTGCGGACCGGAGGCAGCCTGGAGATGGCACAAGAGCCTGGGGAAGACGCCAGACCGGTTGGGAAGTTAGCGTGGTCACAGTGCAAGGCAGTCCGTCACCTCATCATGAAGTTCAGGCTCTCTCACATGCATGGCTACTTGGCCGCCATCATCCAGCTCATCTTTTTAGTACTCTTCTGTATCTTCGTCAGGTTAGTAATGTTAAGTTATAGGCACTCTGCCTTGCGCTTTCAGGAAGTCATCTTTTGTGAAGTTAATATACGGAGAGTTGATGCCATAATTGAAATAAGTTTATTGAGGTAAAATACACACAAAGGGATGAGGTAGCTCAAGCTATTCTCACCCCGTTCAGTACATCGTGTTAATACATACATATACACACATCACAAAGAATAAACATATTACCAAACATTCTGAGATAAACATCTACATTTCCTATGCCATGATTACTTCATTCAGTATATATCTCAAAATACGATGTCTGAAATCTGTACAAAAACAGCATGGAGAGGAGAGCATTCCACCATGCATACTTTTCGATGAAAAGCCACGTATGGTAATGTCCCTTTAATTATTTCTTAGAAAATACATTTGTCGAATGAAGATATATAATGAGCACTTTTTGAATGCCTATATTGACTATGCAAAGTTTTTGTATGTACGCGCCGAAGCAATGGATTACCTTTATACAAAATTGACCCAGTTTGAATAGTTTAATCTTGATAATGAAGAATTCAAAATCAACTTTAAAATTTTCATCCATTTGTTCACCAGTCATATCCTACCGCACTCTGCGCCTCTCAAAAAGGTTAATACTTAAGTGAGCAGCAAATTTCGTAATTAGATTTCAGGAACAGATTTGTCGTCCTTTGAATGTTTAAATTTTGAATTTATAAATCGGAAGCACATTATGCAATGAGCATTTGGGAAAAGCTACGTTAGAAAGTATTAGTAAGCTAGAAGACAGTAGTAGCCTAGCCTAGCTAGGTAGGCTAGGATGCAATATTGCCAGGCTAGGAAGGAACTAAGACTGTGTTACTAGGCAAGGAAACTATTTCGAAGCTAGGAACAACAAAGACAGTACTCCTAGGCTAGGAAAGAACCAAGTCTCCATATGTTGCCATGGCATTGAGTGCTCGTCTGACCTACCAGGTTGACGGGGGTGACGTTGGAGACTCGTGTTCAATGTTAGGCAAGTTTGTGTTACCTTTTTTTTCGTATTTTTGGATTTAATATTTTGCTCTTTCTTGTGCATCTTCTATATTAGTGAATTGAATTAGTTCTGTTGGTGTGAGGATGAATGTATGGAAGCACGGCATATTTTCCCACTAAAAACGCAGTAAACAGGTGTTTAAATTAATAGCTATGGAGAGTGGAAATATAGCCTCATCCAAAAGTACAAGTCTGACAAAATTGTAATGTTTATGGGAAAGGATCACTATCACAGATCTTAGGCCTAATGTCACTGATACACGGTCCAAAGACTAACGTAAGTGTTGATCGCTATCACTGTTTTCATTATGAAGACTTGTAATGATGTATTTCGTAATTGAAAACGTTATTATATAAATACTGTACATCTGTCACATTGTACACGTATAAAGGCATTTACAGTATTGATATAAACGGTTTTTAACCTGATTGCCATAATTCTGCCAGTCAGGTTAAGAGCCGTTTAGTCTGGCAAGTATAACTGATTGGATGGCCGCGCAAAGTCTCTTCCTTGGCTACCTGCTTGATGGGGTTCTGGGAGTTCTTCTACTCCCCAAGTCCGGCCCGCAGGCCCACATACCCACCACAGCCCGGTTGGTCCGGCTAGGGACATCTCGTAGTCTAAAATGGGGGAGTGTTGCATCTTGTAGGGAGGTTACACCTTGTAAGGAGGAGAAGGGTTGGGGCCTGTAGGGAAGGCGACTTGGCAGAGAAAATGTGAGAATGATAAGTGTGTGGGGAGTACAGATAGCATGAGAGGTACGATTGAGATGACATTGTCATGTTGATAGGGCGACTTATTAAGAGGAAGCATGAGCCTTGCATGCATTCGTATATGTTGTATATATTCCAGTGTCGTGCGGGTGCAAAATTAAAAAGAATTATCTTGCACTGAAAAATGTAATAACAAAGATCGCCGTTTATTCTGGGTAAAGTATTAATCTCGCGGAGAAGCGACAGTGCTCGTCTGATAACTTCCCGGTCAACATTTCACTATGAAATGTGTTAATTCCTCGTTTGAGTTAGTATCGCTTTAAGGATCATACTTTCCGTAGGTGGGAGTTTCAGCTTTATCTTGATGTCCACTCTGGCATCCCGGAGATGGGTGGATGGCTAGGATCCAAGCCTGGAAGGTTAGCTAACAGATTGGATGCGAGGAGAATCTTCTGGAGTAAACAAGTTCCCACTAATTCTTTTGACATGGCTGCTCCTGCATTCTTACCCACTCGTCGGCTTTATATTATATATATAAATGTAACTAAATGATTGTCACTCAAATTAGTGATGTACATAAAACAAATTACTTTTTAAAAAAGCTGTCCATCTCCTAATTACCAGAGGCGGTATACCTATAGTTAGGACTGAAAAGCCTCATGTAGGACTGAGAACAGATGCAGATACCATGGAATTGCCTACCCGCCGAAGCCGCAAACACCAAACCTGTTAGGTTTTAAAATCCACATGGAAAAGATCATAAAGGCAAATCATGGTGGGGGGGGGGGGGGATCCTTCGACAAGCCACCGGCTTCCTGTCCTCAAGGTCACCAGTATTAGTTGCCCTCTGGTAAATTAATAGGTCTATTATATATAATACTATATAATAAGCCTGCTACATCTGTATCTATACACTAGACAGGTTGCGGCCAGACGTATGGGGTTACCCTCATTAAACACAGCAGAGTAATTGGTTTTGCCCGGGGATGGTCAGTCTCTCAGCCCCCCCCCCTCCTCCATCCCAATTTGTATGGAATGGCAAATCATACCACCTTCTTGCAGGTCGGTGTTCGATCCCGGTTGGTCTGAGTAATTGGGCATCATTCCTTCCCTCCGTTCTATCCCAGATCCTTGTGTTCATATCCCTTCAAATGCTGTATAGTCGTACTGGCTGGCTTATTGCTGGTTTAAAACAGTTGTCACATCTGTATGAGGTCTTTTTGTCACTTCATTTAGACTGCTGCTTGGGATTCTGTCTGACGTAACATTATTTGCCACATTTTTAAATTTTTAGATGCGTAAGTTGAAGGTAAGTTGATGATATGGGATTAGGCTTTCGAGGCTTTCAAAACGGTATTTTATGTTCATTAGTTGATTCTTAAACTGCTGAGGATTTGCAGCTAGTGACATGCACAAGGACAACATGTTAAACATCATCTTGACATATTCTCTAAACAGCTTTTATTGTGTGTTGACTTCTATTGTGTCCTGCTGTCACTCTAGGCGCTTGCATTAGTCGGAATTCTTAAAATATTGAGACACGCTGTATGTATGTATGTATACATACTGTCTATCCCTTCAGTTACAATAGCGCGCCAAGCCTTATACAACCCGATCCATTATTATATAATCTACTTAATGGAAACGAATGGCCGCGTGACAAGCACCCAGATAACTCCAGTGGATATGTGGGTCCTCTTGGTCAGTCAGACTGAATCAAAGGGAGGGTGTGACGCAGGAAGAGTAGGTGATCTTCGGTGAGAGGGCGTGACGAGTTGGGTGAGAATGTGACGGAGGGAGGGTAATAGGTGAAGGGGGCAAGAAATTGGTCCCAAATATTAACATTGGAAGTATTTACAAAACTATCGCTGTTTTTCACTATTCACTAGCGGGATAGGAGCCTGATGTCACTTGACCATAGGCTACACATGTGTAGATACAGGAAGGTGTGTATGTATATATACATAGTATTTTTCATCATTTGGTGTGTGATTCAGTCATTATATACATACTTTATTTATACTATACTTGCTTAGTAAACTTAGGGTATACTGAAACTTGAACGACCCTGCAAATCGATAGGTATTAGTATCATAACCTTTAGTATTAGACTTAACAAAATTGAAGAAAGATGTATAAAACGGAAGTATACTTCTTAGTGTATATAAGAGTATAATTCAATCTTAAACTCGATAAGGGGATAAAATACGCTTAAAATAAAAGATTATTCGAGCCTTAATAACTGAACAGTTGGTATAGTGACTTTTTTTACATTGCAGAATGATGATGATATATTCTAGCTCTTATACAGATGACGAAGATGAACGCGAGGTATGTCAGTCAGAGCAGAGGCTTGTTAGGTAAAGGCTGCAGGCCCCATACTAGCTTTCCACCTTACAACCTATCACCCTGGTAACCCCCACTCGGCCCCCCCACCACAGTAGTAACCTCCACTCGGCCCCCCCACCACTGCAGCCACACTACTCGCCCCCCCCCCTCCCCCCATCACGGTATAATATGATGGAGGCAAAACATAATCACCACAGGCAGAGAACACACGGGAGACAGCTCCCGTCACGCAGGGTGCAGTTGCACCTCCACAGATCTCCAGTATCAGCTCTTGATACTGGTAATGGCTCCAAAGGGCCACCACTTACGGGCTATTCAAGCCCGTGCCACCTTTTGGGTGGCTTAATCTTCATCATCATCATCATCACATAATCACCTAATTTCCGTGGCGTGATGGTGGACGAGGTGTAGGTAAAGCCCGCCGCTCTCGGGAGTGGCGCAAGGGGTCGACACGACGCGCGTACTAACGTCGTCAATTTCTCGTGCAAGTTTCTCAATATTTCTCCTTCGTATGTTCTGTCACACGTTCCGTAGGGGGGGGGGGAGTGTGTCGTCCTGAATTTTGACCTGAATTTACCCGAGGGGCCACCCATCTCTCGACGGGGACAGGAAGTTGGCGGCTTGTCTAAGGTCCTCCATTGTTCCTGGGGATTTTTTTTGTTCAAATTGGATTTTGAATTTGTAACAATATACAAAACCAGAAACGTACGAACCCAATCAACCCACCTAACGATTGATGAAGAGTAAGCCACCCAAAAGGTGCACGGGCATGAATAGCCCGTAAGACCCACCTAACGTAACCTTCCGATGCATAGAAAACGTAGATATTCGTGAGCCACTGCTGTTCATAGTGCCTTTTATAAATTGGGGACCATAACGTACAAAATTAGACTTACTAGTTGAGAGGACGTGTTGC